ACCTTGTCAGGCACCTGTCTCTAATGAGGTCTTTTCATTGTCTTTAGGTGGGAGTAGGAGTGGGTCTCCCTGCACAAGGGGGGATGGGGTATTTCTACCAGCCCAAAGGGCTCAAGGGAATTTTGAGGTGGAAGGTTCTTCAGATCATCCACACAATTTCCCCCTTCCTACGTCCTTCTTCTCCCCTATCAGGGCCCTGACTCTAGCATCAGAGATCTGCCAAGGATACACATTCAATTACCAATCAGCTCGACACCCTTATAACTAAATCTTGAATGGGAGTTTTAGCACTCTGTCCCATGGCTGCAAGAGATGAGGATCTCTTTAGATGCTGATGTGAAGGTTTCCTACCTCTCATGATGAGCCCTGAGTCAATAGCTGGCTGACCATGAAAGTTAAAAAACAAAACAAAACGAAAACAGTAAATTCTGCCATCCTTCTAAGTGCCCTTGTCTCTTCCCATTCAAGTGCTAGAGTTACCATGCAGACGAGTTTCATCTTCATCTTCTATCCAGCACGTAATAAGAGCTTTAGTGATTGTGATATCCCAGAGCACCAGGAGGTATTCCTCTTGCCATCTGACTAGTGAATGACCCAGACCCTTGAGAGGCTGCATTTGACGCTTCCTTCCTACACCAATTTCTTAGGCTGCTTTCCCTCAAAAGCATAACCTAAGACAGGTACTTGTGTGTGGCCAGGTCATTCGAAAGGTGATCCTACTGAGAAGTGGTGAGGGGATGAAGAGAAAGTTATACAAGATGATACAAGAATGCGGTTTTGAAATTGCTGCAGCGGACAACTCAATTTCCCCAGGTCCTCTTGAGAAGCACACAGAATGGCCCTACAGAACTGCCTCACTACAAGGTAAGAGGCAAGAGGCTTTGTCCGTTGGATACTGTCACCTGTTGGTTAAAGGCTGACCCCGGAGTGTTAACTCACCAACACTTCAAAGGTGTGCAAGGTGTGAGCTACTGTTGACATCAGAGTCAGTAAAGTCAGAGGAGTCTCGGGCTAGAAAGCATAGAATGGTAGAGAAAGGAAGCTGTCAGGGAAAAGTGACAAGTTTACATGAAACTGTCCCCACAACCAAGTTTGAAATCGGAGGCAACGCTCAGAATATGAGTCAGGACCCTGTAGGCTTTTGATGCAACAGGACTAGGAATTTCTTAGGAGTTGATAATCAGTTCATAGCTGTACATCTTTAGTTTCCCACTGGGGTCTCACCATGATGTCATGGAGTCAGCATCTATAAACACCTACTCTGTAATAAGTACTACTCAGTCCGTCATAAACCTCACATTTGACACGCAAAAATATGGCACTGATTGTATTACTTTGCTAGGGTTGTCATAACAAAATCCCACAGCCTGGTGGCTTAAGCCACAGAAATTTATTTTCTCATAGTTCTGGAGACTAGAAGTCTGAGATCAAGGTGTTGGTAGGGCTGGTGTCTTCTGAGGCCCCTCTCCCTGATTGTCTCCACGTGGCCTTCGTCCTATATATGTCTGTCTCCAAATTCCCTCTTTTTTTTCTTTTCTTTCTTTTCTTTTCTTTTTTTTTTTTTTTTGACAACTGCTACACCTCAACTTTTTCTCCTCTTTTCTGCTTTCTGTTAAATGATTACTGTTCTTTGTTTGAGTGTGTTTAAGTAATTCCCTAGAGAGACATCCAGGTAGATGATGTGCAAACCCCAGCTTGTCCTGGAAAAAAAGCTCAGACATTTCCAGCCACTTCCATAGCCCCTTGGATGCAGACATTTCCCAATTCCCTCTTTTTTTTTGTTTTTTGTTTTTTGTTTTTTGAGGATGCTCATCAGATTGGATTAGGGCCCACCGTCATCACCTCATTCTACCTTAGTTGCCTCTTAAAAGATCCTGTCTCCAAGTACAATCATACCCTTGAGGTACTAGTTGCTAAGATGTCAACATATGAATTTTGGGTGAAAACAATTTAGCCTATAATATTGACCGTTACATTAAAAAAATACTCATAATATTAGGTTAAAGTATTGCTTATTTGAATTAATATAAAAGTTACTCTGAATTCCTAAAGATCCTTTCCCATTTATAGCTGATTTTTTAATGTTTTATTATTTTGTGTTTCAGACACATGAGAAATCTTTATGTGTGTAACTTCATGCTTTATTTAAACATTAAATTCTATGTTATTTTCAGTATTTTCTTTTTCAGAGTTTAAAGCAAATTCCAACTAGTCTCTAAATATATTTGCCAGTCAGTCTAGAATTAGTAATAGCTGAAAGATACAATGTAGGAAGAATGGGATTTGCTAGGAAAGGGGGACATGGTAAATTAGGCCTCCATGAGGCAAGGCTGAATTTTCACAGATGAGCTATTAGCAGTTTTCCTGTAGTTTTGTTTTTAGAGATCAGCATATTAGCATTATTGTAGCTAATTATTGCCTTGTCTAATGTCTCCATTTATTTTGGATGACTCTGCTTGGACTGCCCTTCCTCCCCTCTTTCCCCCATTCCAAAACCAATGGAATCCTCATCATAATCTAGGTTCTGCCTTTTAGAGGAAGCTTTCATAAGCCATGCCAGCCAATATTTTACTTTTTCTGGATTCCCATGCTACTGTCCTAACACTCATTTGGCAGTTCATCTTAGTCATTCATTTACCAAATATTTACTGAGTGCAGACTGTGTACCAAGCACTCTGTTCTAGATGATAGCACTACAGCTGTGAATGAGACAAAAATCTCTGGCCTCATAAAACAAACGTTCAGGTAGGGAAAAATAGGTGGGGAGGCACAAATAACAAATATAGGGGCATCTATCATAACTGTTATGAAGACAAGAAATGCAGGGTAAGGACGGTGTCTGGGTGTAGAGGGGTTGGCATTCCTAGATAGTATAGTCAGGAAAAAACTGCCTGACCAGGTTACATTTGAGCAGTGACCTGAAGTAAGTGAAGAAGCACATCCTGTGGATATCTGAGAGAGTAATGGTCTGTGCAGATGGAACGCTAAGTCCAGAGCACTAGCACTTGGTGTTCTTGGAGAGGGATAGATGGGCTCTGAAGAGCAGCTGTAGAAAGCTGTAGCCTTTGGGGCGCCTGGGTGGCTCATTCGTTAAGCATCTGCCTTCGGCTCAGGTCATGATCCCAGGGTCTTGGGATCAAGCCCTGCATTGGGCTCCCTGCTCCATGGGAAGCCTGCTTCTCCCTCTCCCACTCCCCCTGCTTGTGTTCCTTCTCTCACTGTGTCTCTGTCAAATAAATAAATAAAATCTTAAAAAAAAAAAAAAAAAAAAAAGCTGTAGCCTTTCAGATCAAGTTCTTACTTAGAAGCCATGGCAAGGGTTTTGAACTTTAATCAGAGTAAAACAGTAAGCCATTAAAGCATTCTGAGCAGAGGAATGGTATATTCTGTCACAAGCTCTAAAAGGATCATTCTGGCTGCTGAATAGAAATTGGAAGCAGAGAAATAAAGGGGAGATAGAAAGACGTGTCAGAAGCCAAACTGTGGCACATTTACATTATGGAATATAGCTCCGTAATTAAAAAAAAAAAGAAGCCTACCGTAACTGTCCAGGCAAGAGTAGATGGTTCCTTATGACACCTCTTGTACAGTAATTTGTTTTATATTGACATTTACCTTTACTTGTGTATCCTTAACTCCTTGAGGGCAGGGAGCCCATACTTGTAATTTATGGATTATGTATACGACCCATGCATATGCCCATTTGATAGGTGCTCAATTAATGTTGCCTAATGCTTTTAAATCCACATTATTCAGGTAACAGCATGGCATCATTAAAGGCTTCGTCATTTACTGTTTCTTTAGGAAATTAAAATTCTCTAAGTCTTACTTAAAATGCTGGTAACACTGACCTTGTACAAGGTTGGTAAGGATTAAATAAAAAAGCCTAGCCAGACACACTTTTAGTAGGCGTTAACTGCTACTCTTTTATATAAACCCTCACACCCAATACAAAATACAAGTGCTGCCCTTTCTGCACAATGCCTGTGAAATTTTAAAAGCTATACATAACTTACTGGATTCTAACATCTGTATTAATCCAGTTCATCCCTTTCTGGGTATCTAAATCGTGCACTCAAAAATGTCCCGGCTTCCTTACAGAAATCTTTGCCTTACATGTCATTTTATAGTTACCTAAAAACATCGCAGCTATCCCGTCTTGGTGTTTATGTCAATACATCTCAGTGAGTGTAGATGTAGCCCTAAATGCAGGATAAATGTTTAGCTTTGATAGCTGGTAGAGCTATGGGATTTACATTCTGAGCAGTAAGTAGCATTGTCAAAACAAGGCGGGCAACATTCGTGTCACGTTGCAAGGCCTGGGGTTGCTGAGCTACGGGTGGATTATAACGTCAGAAGCAACCCAAGCGCGCCTTCAGTCCACCTCCACCAGAAAGCGGGCACAAGTCAGGCAAAAGCATAAAACTGGAGACAGGCAGGGTGACCATGCCCAACTCACTTGGATCAAGAGGGAACAGGGAACCCCGGGGTTTCTAAATCCAGGCTCAACATTCTCCACTAGGCTTCCCTCTCAAATTTCAGCCCAGGGCCATTGCAGTGTAAGTGGTCCCCTGCGTGGGGGCCCACGGGGTGCAGGGGCCCGGGGAGTACCAAGCCGCAGCAACCCTCGAGGCTGCAGAGGCCCGGAGACCAGCAACAAGCGAACATGGATCGGTGGGTGAAAACTCCCCACCCGGTCGGGGCTCGACACTCCTACGCCATTTTTAGTGGGTGCAGAAGCGCAGCCCTCGCGCGGCCAAGCTCACTTCGCGCTCTTCCGGCATTCGGGAGAGGAGAGAGCATGCGCGAGAGGTAACCGCGCCCTCGCTGCCTGATGGCCCCCGGCCGGCGAGGGGGCGGGACCGCGCAACTGCGCCCGCGCGCGGAGACACGTAGGCGGAAGTGGCGCGCGGGCGCCGGCGATGCGAGCACCTCGCGAGGAGGCGGCGACGGCTGTGGAAAGTGCAGGAGTAGGCGGAGAGGAGGAGAAGGAGGTGATGGCGACGGACCTGGGGAGGGGGAGACGCTCTGTCTGGCTGGCGCCACTCGGGCTGGGCTCACCCTTTTAGGTGACATACCGGCTCTGAAGTGGACGTGCCCCCCCGGCGCTTCGCCGTGTTTGGGACCCAGACCTCCCTCTCCCCAGAGAATCTTGACACAGTTTATTTTCGGTCGGGATGGAGGGCCCGGGTGACTTCCTTTTTTAAAGAACGGAAACCTGCCGGCACGGTTTCTAGGGAGCAGTATCTGCTCCTCCTCGCCCCCTGTCCGCCCTGCGGCTGGCTAGAACTCCCTCACGTCCCCGTCTGTGGACTCTGAGACATGAGGCCACTTCCAGGAGGGCCTTTTAGGCTTATGGTAAGGGGCCTCCGGAGAACTGTCAGTCCCCTGGGTTCCCAGGGCTGCGTCTTAGTTAAGAGCTGTTTCCGGGTTCTGCGTTAGGTAGGGTACTTAGGGTACTCTGCTGTCCGTTTAATTTGTAGTGCAAGGTGATTGTTCTTGCCAGGTTATTCAGTTTATGTGATAAACTTCCACTAGAAGTTATGCAGGTTCTCCAGTCTTTGCAGCTTAATTTTTCTCCACCTTATTTGTCTTTTAAAGAATTACCGAAAGAAGGTGGAATGCTTTGGTGTGCTAACGGAGGGTTTTTTAGTGTTGGGTACGTGCGTTTCTTCTATGGTAGGACCTCAGATGTTGAGAATTGGTTTTCGGATTAACGCTTTCCCAAGTGCATTGGGATAGTTTGGGACGTGGAAGAGAGAGATACAGCAGCATTTGAAAATAATTTAGATAAGTGTTATTTGTACTTAATTTCTAAATATATGTCAAATCCTAAGTTTAGATTTATCCCTTGGGAAAAGTAGAGTAAGCATCAAAAATTAGCGCACTGTTTCTTGAACTTTGTGTAATCTGAAGTGTGTACAAAGAAATGAGACAGTATTTTTTTTCGTTTTATAATCATAACCCATAGGTCACTCAGTTACTGTTTAGAGTCCACTTAATTTATAGATAGTGGCAAGATTATTTTATTTGTAACATTGAGTGTGACAAAATACAGAATCAAGTTTGTTCTGGTTATTTACACTGTAATGACATAATTTCCTCATATTCTACCCTTTTCTACGGGAGACGTGTCTTCTAAGGGTTGGAAAAAACTAGATTAAGACATTAACTGAAATAATTTTGATTTAAGTAGGTCATTGTAAATCAGTGTTATCACCAGTTATTTATAATTTTTAAATATCAGTATGCTCTAGAAATGCTACCTTTTTATTCCGTTTTAACAGTTTTTTGTACCCCCAAGGAACATAACATATCTGTGTTGACTTCAGGAAGAGGCCTTAGGCAGTGATTCACACCTGTGGGTTTTTTGTTCTTAGTTTCAAGGGTTACTGTGAATTTCTAAAGCAAAGCAAAATGTTGAGCATTTAATTTTAAAACAGTTTTTATGCTTGATTTTATTTTTCCTGCACCAGAAGGACATTGGCCTAGTTTCTTTAGATGATGATTCATATCCATCATTAAGGTCTGAAATGGAAGGCGTATGGCAGACATTAAGGATCACAGTTACTGGGTATCAGAGTTTACAGTATCTTCATCAGTCACATGATCTGACCAGTGATGTTCTGATTAATAAAAGTGCTTTCTAAATGCAAGGCCTTGCAGGGCAGATTTTCTGGTGCTGGCACCTCAAGTAAGCAAAGGAAGTGAATTTATTTCCATGTTCATTTCAGATGCTTTGTGGGAAATTTCAGTGGAGATGTCAGTATTTTGGCACAGATGTCCAAGAAGTGACAGTGCTGGAGGGATTTAACTCTACTTGTCTGGCACAGATCTGCGGTTCCTAAGATTGCCAATAGGTGTGTTAAAAGCAGCAAATTGTCGGAAAGGAGCAGGATTCTATTGACTAAATGGTGCTTACTAAAGTGCAATGGAGTCCTTCATTTCATATCTTACACTTTTGCTATGTGCGAAAATATAATGCAGATGGTATTGTCTCTTCCCTTAAAGGGTATCATAAGTTTGTGAGAGAAGCAGACACAAAAACAAAAAGGCCGTTATGATTTAGGTATCTGTAAAAATATTTATAAAGTGCTATGAGAGTCCAGAGAATCAACCAGCTTGTAATTTATAGGACCTTAATCAGAGGTGCAGCATAATGAGCATTCATACTGAGTAGTGTGAAAGAGGGATCAGAAAGGGAAGAAGAGATTATAAACAGGCTAATCTAGTAATCTAGGCAAGAGAAAACAGCTGCTAATGGTAGAGTCAGAAACAGATTCTTGGTGCATTTATGGATGTGGAGTCAACAGGAACCTTGGCAAAATATAGAATGTGAGGAAAAGGAAAGAGTCTAATAAATACCAGATTTTTGGCTTCATACCAGTAAGTGAGATTGGGAATATAGGAAGAGCAGGTTTGTTTGGAGGGGAACATAATGAGTTCTGCTCTGGACACTTAAAATGAGGTGCCAGTGGAACTCATGAGTAGAAATGCTTTCAAAAAAGCATTTGGAAATAGAGATCTGGATTCCAGAAGAGAAGTCTGGGTTGGAAATCCAGATTCATATTTCTAGCTGCACATCAAAAGGGTGAGGAATCTGTGTCAGCAGACCATATCATACTAGCAATAGTTCTAAAGAGTTGAATGACAGCTAACATTTGTGATCTGTCTTACTATATGCTAGGCACTTTTAAATTTATTTCATTTAGTCGTAACAAGAATTCTATTACAGGCACATTTTTGTACCCCCCTTTTAAAGATGTACAACCTAAAGTTCAGAAGGGTTAAGTAATTTGCTCAAGGCTTTTCAGCTAATCAGTATCAAAGCTGGATCTTGAACTCAGATCTGTCAAAATCCAAAGCCTGGGGAAAGGCTTCTCATAATGGTAGCTATAATTTTATTGAGTCAGTACAGTATGCCAGCCATTTTGCTAAGTTACAAACACCTCCAGCAGAAGATGGGTGGGGGAGAAATTTTTGATACTAATAAAAGCAGGAGAGAGGTCTTCTAGAAGTTTTATTTATTCTCTCTGTGTAAATATATAAACATTATTTGCACATTTCCCCTAACCTCTGTTTTCTATACAATTTTTAGTTTTGCTCACAAAGTTTGCCAACACCACAGTACATTTGAAAAACTGTGTTCAGGTAGACAGTAAGTGATTGCAAGGTGGGGTTTTGAGGGCATCCAGGGGAAGGGCCCGTTTATTTGGTTCATCTGAGTGTTTGGGTGCAGAGTATACCAGATATCAAGGGTGCAGAGACAAGATTTGAGTCTTGCCTTTCCATTTCTCTTCTCTCCCAACTGAGGGAATTAGGGAGGGTATTCCAAAGGAAGGAACACTAAAGCTTATTTCAAATGCTGACCTAGAGAAAAAAGACATCGGGCTGAAAGAACATCATGAACATAAGGCAAGGGTGTTTGAAAGTCCATGGTATATTTCAGGAATGAAATAATAGTTCCTTGTGGGCAGTTCAGGGCTTGATTGAAAGAGGTGGAGGGAGGAGAAGCTTACGTGGGGCCAGATATATTTGAATGGTACTCTGTATCCATGCCTACACACATGGAAAGTAGTTACTCAGGTTTTTGTTTCTTCTACATTCAAGATCATTTAAAGCATGGTTTATAAAGAAAGTCAAATCTCAAGGGTATCCTGCAAGATGACTTAAAAAGTCTTAACTCAGAGATGACTGATTGAACAGTGTGGGAAGGAAGAACAATATATAAAGAAGAAGAAACAGGTAAAGGAAAAATACAGTAAAACTTTTTAAAATTATGCTTTTTCTATTTAGAAATTTGGCAGGTGCCCTATAAAATAAATGTTATTTGATGCCTGAGTATTGTTAGTTACAAGTTGTATTCCGAACCTTGATCCCAATTTAAATTACTGAAGATGACCTATCTCTGTAATTAGCAAAGGAGAAGTGATCATGAAGAAGTGACTCTAATTCTTGCCATTTTAAACCATCGTGACAGTTTCTTTTAAAGAGATTTCCAAATCTGTCAAAGTTATCCTTATCTATCCTCTTTCCTCAACTGTTGTAAATTTTAGTTCCCATTGGATTGTGACAGACAGTGAGTTTTTTCTAGGAAGATAATTTTTTCATCATCAGGTTGTTCTTTAATTGTCATAATTCTTCATTCTCTCTTCAACCTCTACGTGGAACTCATTCTTTGGTTTATATAAATCCAAAGGGAAATTGACAGTCATCTATGGAGCCCTCATGATTTTTTTTTTCACAGACTAACAAAAAATTATGTTTTCCAACTTCTTATAGTCCCAGAAGCGTCTTTATTCCTTTTTTATAAAACAGCTATATTGAGGTATAATTGTTACACACACAAAAAACTGCACGTTTAACATACACAATTTAATTAGTCTGGACACGTGCATATACCTGTAATACCATCACCATAACGATCAAGGTAATACACATTTGTCACCTCCAGAAGCTTCCATGTTTGCCCCTTTGTGTGTGTGTATGTGTGGTGAAGAATGTTTACCACGGTATCTACCCTCAACAGATTTTTAAGTGCACACCCCTGTGTTAACTGTAGGCACTATGTCCTATAGCAGGTCTCTAGAACTTACTCATCTTATATAACTGTAACTTAATATTCATTGAACAACAACTCCCCAAAGACTTTTTAAATTAAAATGATTTTGTCCAAAGGAAGAAAACATTTTCTTTTAACCTAACCTAAGAAATGCTCTTGCTAAGGCATATTATCCTTTCTGTTGTCTCTGATAAATCTAGCTTTTTAAAATAACAAAGTTGTTTGAGTTTACTTTTAAAACATCATTAACAAATACATTTTACAGTTGACTTAGTACTTAAAGGAGCATCAGCTCTTTTCTGCAAAGGCTAACTTTAATGTTAAGATGTCACTCATAAACTATCATGGGCTTTGCAGATTATTTCCTTAATACATATAAAACCGTAATAAAAGCATATTTACTTCTTTGATGAAATAAACACTAAGTTAAAAAAAATAAATAAATAAACACCAAGTTAGCTTTCGATTTTTGCTGTGGAAATGAGAATAGCATATATTTAGCGATGTATGGTCTTTATCAGGAGAAGATAAATTGGAGAGTAGACATTGTTTTTGGTTGCTTGGAAGCTTGTATAGAGGAATTAATATATTAATACCCAGAGAGAATGAGATTTACCTGTGTAATTTTTAAAGCGTGATGTGAAATATTTGGAGCATAGTATCTTATGATCCAAATGCTTTAATTGCTTATTTCCTTCTTTAGGACTTGCCTCAGCAAGCAAAAGAAACACTGAACAAAGGAGAGGAAACCAACAAAGATAATTATAGAAGCACTGAATGCAGCAAAACAAGAACAATGGATCTCAAGCTCAACCACTCCAGGAAATATATTTCTATCACTGTCCCTCCCAAAACACAGACAATGTCACCACACATCAAGTCAATAGATGACATCGTAGTACTTGGCATAAATCTCAGCAGATTTAACAAACTTACTCAGTTTTTCATATGTGTTGCTGGAGTTTTTGTATTTTACCTAATTTATGGATATTTACAGGTAAAAATAGTTACTTATTTACAAGATGCTAATTATAACAGTTGCGGTCAGTATGGGCATTACTAATAGTTTTGTCCAAGATATTTTTCTTTATAGGATGCTACTTTATTCACATTTTTGAGTTTTTTAATATAGAAAAGGATTCTTAAAAGATAGTCTGCTACTTTTAGCAGGGATCAAAATTTCACAGTTAAATATTTCAGATGGGGGGAAGGGAGCAGAGACAAACTTAAAAAATTAAAATTATGAAAAAATTTGAAATATGTTAAAGTAATTGCACCCATGTGTTTCTAAAAGAGAGTGATTCAAGTATTCAGTGGTATTTTGGAACGTAATTCTCCAATAAAATTGAATGATAACACAAAAGCCATAATCTAGTCCATTGTTGATTCTTGGAGCTCAATAATAAAAGGTCATTTTTGCAAAGTATATGAGGATGCTTTATAGTGTTTCCAGGAGTTTCTCTTTAATCCTGTACTATCTGAATTGTTCTTTTTATGAAGCACCTGTTGTGTTCTCATTCTTTTTGGCTTCCTCTTCAAATCTAATTTTTCTGTGATTTTTGCCGGTGCAAAACATTTCTGACATTGCCACAAATTGTCTTCTGTTTGTATTATGTTATGGGATTGTTGTATTACCTTTGACTAGCAGCAAATTCCTGACCTCCTGGGGACATGGGCTTGATGGGTGAAGAACCAGGCTAGTGTAAACAATGTTTGAATGGGGACTACTATTCTTAATTGTCAGTTCATTAGTATTTTCAGCCATTACCAACTTTCCTTTTTTATGCAGCTTTCTAATGTGAGAAAACCTTTTATAATTCAAGAAATGGAAATGGATGTGTTTTGTTGAAACAGTTAATATTTCTGGTGTTGTTTAGTATTAATCAGTTAGAATGATCTTAAAAATTATTGTACTCTTTCCCATTGTCCTATAGAGATGGAAGATAAAAGGAAGTATAAATGAAGAAAATGGTAGAATTGGCTATTCCTTAGCTTGTAAAAATGCTATGAGCAGTATTAGTGTAAAACAAAAATATGAATTAAAAATCTTAATATTTATAAAAACGAATTTCCCCACTAAGAGGATGATACAAAAACTCAAGATATCACAATGAAGAATGATGAAAAACAGTAAATTTTATCAAATACAGGTTTCAGTTTCTTGTTGAGAAACATTTTTTTTTTCTTTTTCAAAACACCATTGTTAAATAATTTGGGAGCAGAGTTAGCCATTGCAAAAAAGGAAAATGAATTAGAAATTTACAAATTTTATTATTCTTTTTCTGTTTGATTAATCATCAGAGATTTTAATTTATAACATGCAAAGCTTTTAAGATTAATAATTACTTTTACTTTATGAAAACTGACATTGCTACTAACTCTTACATATAATAGCATATTAAAATAGTCCAAAGAAAATGCTTGGGGTTTTGTAATGAAGTTAGCTGTATAGATACAGTATAGTGAAATCTATCTGAATGCTAACATACTTAATAATTTTCATATTTTATGATTCATATGCCAGAAAAATACTAAATATCTTTCAGACTTACTTGAACATGAAACCTAAATTTGGGGAATTACACGGTATCCTAAAAATGTACAAAATCTAGTTCAGAGTCTATGGTTGGGGGAGGGGAGTGATTAATCGATTAAGCCAGGTATTGGAATACCTCTTACTGACTTGTTAATGGCTTATTAACAATTAACGTAGATACTACTTCATAAGATAACATGTTTTGACAAAGTAACCATTTCCTTTACAAGGAGAAATTTTATATAATCTGTGGCACAAATATTCCAAAAAATCACATTACTGGTTTGAACTGATTAAATTCCTATAGAAAAACAAGCCTGAGATAATAGACTTCTAATGAAATATATTTGTTATACAGTAAATGAGTCCTTGACCCAACTATCTTGCCCATTGTTGGGGCAGTTCTTAATTTTGGCAGTCTTTTTTTTTTAAAAAAGAAAAGCCTAGGATAACATTGCTTCATAGTTATCCCTCCCTCCCTTTACTTGTCTCACCTGAATATCTAGAGTCCTTTGGAATGGCCTTCTGAACTTCTCTAATTTTACCTCTGAGAAGCCTTGTGATTTGGGTGTTTATTTTGCTTTTTATTTTTTGTTGCTGGGGGTGAGGCTTGGGTTCTTTTTAAAATATTGTGTTTATAGGAATTTATTGTGAGGAAATTGGTCTGCCCCAGAACTTAACAGTATTCATGTATCTTTTGACAGGAATTAATATTTTCAATGGAGGGTTTTAAGTCCTATGGCTGGTACCTTACTTTAGTACAGTTTGCATTTTACTCCATATTTGGCCTAATAGAACTTCAGCTTATTCAGGACAAAAGGAGAAGGTATGTGGTTTGTTTTTATTTTTTTGACAGTTAAGTTCATTAGTAGTAGTTAAATTTGTTCTTTGGGAATATGGAGTATATCATACATGAAATATATACATTTGCAATTACTAAAACATATCTAATACCCAAGATTTTTTATCAGTATAACCAACTTACAAAAAAATATTAAATTTAGTTCAATTGTACACTGAAGAAAGTGGTCTCTCTTTTAGTGTAATGTTATCAGAAAAATGTAGTTTGGGCTCAAATTACAGTAAATGTATCTTGAAACAGGAGAAAGTATTCAGATGTACATACGTGTTTTTATAAATTGAACTGAAATGGGTACGATTACTGAAAGATTTACAGTGCTAAGAAAGAGCAAAGTGGTGAATAGTCAATGCCACTTTTACAGTGGTTTTTAAAATGCATAGTTAATGTTTTGTGGGATACATTCTATTCAACATTGTCTTCTTTATAATGTGCAGTAGCTGAGACTGCATGTTTAAACCTCAAATTTCGTAGCATGCCTTTTCATCAGAATCAGAGGAGTTTGTTTGACATAACATTTTGCATTGACCATCTAGATTTGAGAAATATTGCGAAATATTTTTAATGGTACACAGAACAATATGCAGCAAAAACCTGATTATAAACAGGAGAAGGTTAGGAAATTGTAGCTTCTTGGTAAATGTAAGTGTGGTTATCCTGTCATATCAGACTCTAAGATGTGAATATTTCATGTATACACTGGGCAGTTTAAATGCAGCAAGGAACTAAATACTGATAGCCTGTCTTCAATGATAGAAATGTTTAGTCTTTCAGTAAAAATAAATATTCACAGCTACCATTTTTCTTACAAAAAATGTTTTTGATATTTGTCTGAAGGTAACTATAAAATTTTAAGTATTTAAGTCTATCATACCAGTATTCCTTCATAGTTCTAATTTTGCTTCTCAACCTCTCTTTATCGCCAGTAAATTATTATAGCAGTGATAGTAAAAAAAAATGTTTGAATCTGAGGTTAGTGTCTGTATTATTTTCATATAGGTGTAGTACTCAGCCATAGAGGTGATAAAATAGAAAGTAAATATATCTGTCAAGACTAATGTGTAAGAAAGCATAATGATTCATTACCAGTTGCAAACTGCTGGATGTCTATTTCCAAAGTAAAAGAATTTAATGCTATCTTTATAAAATGGAAAGTGACACAAAGATACACCTCCTTTAAAAAAGATACACCTCCGGCGTGCCTTGGTGCCTGAGTCAGTTAAGCGTCCGACTCTTGATCTCGGCTCAGGTCTTGATCTCAGGGTCCTGAGTTCAAGCCCCGCACTGGGTTGCACACTGGGCATGGAGCCTATTTAGAAAAAAAAGATACACCTCTCTCTCATCTACCCAAATGAAATAGGGAGTGAGCCTCCAGCCATGTTTATCCCAACTCTTAACCCAAATGACTATAACACTTTTAAAGATAAAATAATTTGTGTTTGATTTAAACATAAATGAAGGCATATAGAAGAATTTACAGACGTATAATAAATATAATTATGAATTAAAACCTTTTCGCTTCCAAGGCACATTAAAAACATTTTTAGAAGAAGCCTTTAAAGGTATGTTACAATGAAAATATGCTCAATCACATATTTCTGAATTTATTTAAGTGGTGCTGCTCTTCAGACCTTTAGGTAGCCAAACTCTTTGCTTAGTTTTTTTTTTTTCTTTTTCTTCTTTCTTCCTATATTTATATGAATACTGCATACTTGAAAGAGTAGAGGAGTCAGAAAACATGTATTTGAGTCTTGGCATGGCCTCTAATTAGCTCTCTTAAGACCTCAAGGGAGTTGCTTAAATTCTCTGACATTTGAGGATCAAATGTGGTAATGTGCGGGGAGGCTATTGTAAGCTGTAACACCCTAAATACACTACTTGTTATTTTTCATCAAAGTTATCTTGTAATTTTATTATTACTTTGCATGAGGTTTTAATAAAGGAGATCTGTCAAATTGGTTTCGAAGGGGCCAATGAAAGTCACAGTCCACCCCCCACCCCCACCCCCACCGCCTAAAGACGTGAGAAATTGGGATATTAAATAAAACAGCCACAGCGGCACCCAGGAGGAAGATGATGAATCTAACCTCCTGGTCTCACCAGTGGGCAAACACACCTCGAGGAGGGCTGGAGTTTTCGTGAGTCTGTACGGCAAGTAGCTCTCAGAGTTGTGACCCTCTGAATACAGGCCTCCTGAGTTTTAGGCTGCTTTTCTACCTATGTTATGTTACTTCTGTAATCACCATCCTTGTGATTTTTTCTGACTCGAGGCAGAAAAAAAATTATTTTCGGGCCACTATTTGCAATTTATGTCTGAGGAAATTTGACCACTGTGACTTCTGTCGTTACTTGGAGGAGTAGTGCTGTCCTTCCCTGATGATACCGCACTGAGGATTAAACCCCACAGACAGCATACCAATCAGTGTCTGTGTACACCGATGCATACGGGCGTGCCGAGTTACTTCCACATGGACTTTAAATGCTGACAACTGTATTAGTAGTTAAGTAGGAAAGGCCTCGAAATTGAAATATAAGTGGAAAAGATAGATTTTAATTGACTTTTCCAGTAAATTATTTTGCCTTATATCTAGCCAAATAAAAAATGCGGAGGAATTTTGTTGTCTTGATTTAAATGGAACATAAGCCCCAAAATGGAAGCTACTTCTAAGTATGCAGCATAATCTGATTATGTGAATAGTACTTCATGTGTTAGTCACACCAGTGTACAAGATTATTTTAGACCATTAAATATCTAGTCAAAGTGAGCATATGCTCGCAATAATAGCACAAAATTCTGAAGATGCCAAATTAAAAACCCCTTTAGGAAATTCAGACAGAACCCAAAGCAGTGATTTGGGATCCCGAGGAGAGAATCAGATTGTTCATCTTGAAGTTGATTATTGTAACATCTTATGGAATACAGAGTTAGAGTGGACATTGTGGTAATAAAAATCATGTTTAGAGTTTTTAAGCCACCACTCCAGAATATCTGGAGATATTCTGCTCAGGTTATTTTAGCAGAAGGGCTGAATATATTTTTCCTAATGCTAGATGGGAACATTAGGAAACAGAACAACAATTTAGAAGTTGAAAATTAGTTAGGGGCTGTTTACCGTTGTGGAGGTCAATAGTGTTTAAAACTCAACTCTTTTTTTCTAAATTTAGTCAAGATAGTTTATATATATGGAACGGCTGTTAAAAAAACCTCTTACCAACATTTTTTTTTTTTTTAAATACCATCAGGGCGAATCTGTGTAACTCTGGTACACCATTTTTTTCACACAGTTCGAGTTCTCACTTGTGATTGATTAAATAAGGGTAAATTGTTGTTTTTACCAACATTGTTTTATACAAGTAAAGTGTGATAACTTTTAAAAATACTGCTATTTCACCAATATTGCTAGAAATATTCAACAGAAATTAGACATTTACACATTGTAAACACATTATCTTACAGTAGTATGAATTGGGTCCCGAAATGAAGATTTTAAAAATTGTCTTTTACAGAATACCAGGAAAAACCTACATGATAATAGCTTTTCTAACTGTGGGTACTATGGGGTTATCAAATACTTCCTTGGGCTACCTGAATTATCCTACCCAAGTCATCTTCAAGTGCTGCAAATTGATTCCTGTTATGCTAGGAGGAGTTTTTATTCAAGGTATAGTAATGATATATTTTCATACTGTTTGAAACTAATAGGATATGTTATGGCATCTAGCATTAGGAAAAACATTAAACTCCAATTATTATTTTCAATGAACATTCTCGATATTGGAACAATTCTGAGTGACATCTTATAAAATAAGGTATTATAGGGGCGCCTGGGTGGCTCAGTCGTTAGGCATCTGCCTTCGGCTTGGGTCGTGGTCCTGGGGTCCTGGGATCGAGCCCCGCATGGGCTCCCTGCTCCGCGGGAAGCCTGCTTCTCCCTCTCCCACTCCTCCGGCTTGTGTTCCCTCTCTCTCTGTCAAAAAATAAATAAATCTTTAAAAAAAAATAAGGTATTATAAAAACACTGATACTTCTGTGATATCTCCTAGTATTCAAAATCAGTAATTCAGACTCAAGAAAAATAAAAATAGTATTTTGTTTTATTTTTTTTTTCTTTTAATCTGGAATCTACCACATTTCCAGAAATACTGCATTCAAGTATTGAAGGCATAACTCAGAAATACCTGGAAACTCCCTTTTTTCAGTTCTTTCACTCTTCTCCTCAGGGCACCCCCCTCTACCTCCATTATACAAATGAACAATTCTCTCAACGAAGTAAGCTTAACCTGAGCAGAACTGCTTTTTTACCAACTCTGCGGGCTTATTGGCTTCCTAGAGCCCCAACTAAGTTACAAGCTATGTGGAAATAGGAGTAAAGAGGAAACTAATAGCAAGTAGAACAAGTTTTTGTTGTTCATGTCACTGTCATGAGAAGTACTTGTTTTGATAATCAAGGGCCCCTGTATCACTAAAGTTCTTAAACAGCCTAACTTCATTTTTTTTACATTGGATGCCTTCCCACAGAGGCCCTCTGTAATGAACGTGTCTGTTGGCTATATCACATATAATATCAGGGTGGCTGTTCTTGCAGGAAAAAGCATTGACACCAATCCTTATTAAAAACCACATGCATGTATAATATTTCCTTAGTGATCCTTATGAAAAAGTTATACTACATAATTTTTAAATAAAATTTAAATAATGTGGATATACCATAACAGGTTAATTCTCACCAACCTAGAACTTATCTGATTATGGTCATTGTAAACTTAAATGGTTATATAACCTGAATAATTGCTCTGGTTACTTTTAAATGTATAAGCTATAAGAAAATTCATACCTTCTATTATATATGAAGTAAAGGAGGCACTCATGTCCACAAACTTTAAATGTTCATATTTACTCACTACCATAACATATAAAGTAGGATCTCATATCTGACTTATGAAGACATGTTGGTGCTCATTGATCATTTAATTCTCATAAGCCCTTCTGTGACTGTCTCAGGCGTTGATCTAAACATTCTTCATATATTTTTGACTTTGGATACAAAAAGCAGATCCTGCTCTACTTGGTTAGACACATAGATCTAAAACTGTGCCAAGTGGGCATTTGCATAATGAGGTTGGCTTACATTTATTTTACACAGGGAAGCGTTATAACATTGCAGATGTGTCAGCTGCAGTGTGTATGAGCCTTGGTCTGATATGGTTCACCCTAGCTGACAGCACGATTGCACCAAATTTCAACCTGACAGGTAAGGAAATTATTTGTACTCCTGGATTTTGCAGGCATTTTGGTTTAAGAGTGAGAACTTTTACAATTTCATAAGGATTTCAAATGATGGTGTGACATCTGTGATTTTCATATCTAACATAAAGCTTTCAGACTTTCCATGTAAGATACAGTAAAAATATTACAGTCCTGGAAGTGTAACAGTTATTTTTAGTGCTCTTGTATTTTGACCTAACAAGAGGCTGTTTGGCCAGTCAAAATCTTCTGTGATTGAGTACATGATAGAGCAATTTCTCATGGGCTGAGTTGGAAGTTTACACATGAGTTATAGAAGAATCACGTTAGTAACTGTTTTTATTATTTTTTTTTTAAATTGAAATTGTACATTTACTTGTCATTGTTTTAGCTAAAGAGGGAAAGGTATGCTGTATGTTAATATTGAACTGTGTGCTCTAAGTATGGTTAGAACCTTAAAGTGCTTGAACTTTCCACCATGAAGTCACCTCATAGTGTGCCAGGTGGAATTTTATAAATAAAATTTAGATTTTTCACAGGCAGAATAGGTATTATAGTATATTTAGAACTAAATAGCATAAAGGTGTTAGAATATTGTTTTTATTCTAAAGACCTTGAAGAAAAATTATTATATATACAGTATTACCATTCTTATACTACTGAGTTTTATTCATAAGCTTATTATCATCCCATCTTCTAGCCTGACAGAAACAGTATTTAAAATACCTAGGTATTGGGAGGGGCCTCTTTGTGGCGAGAGGAGGAGTAGGTACGGATGAAGATGGTGGCACCCAAGGCCGCAAACTGCATCATGGAGGTCTCCTGTAACAGGCAGGAAGCAGCGAGAAGCCCAATGCTGAGGACATGACTTCCAGAGATTACTACTTTGATTCCTGTGCTCACTTCGGCATTCAGGAAGAGATATTGAAAGATGAGGTGCACACCCTCATGTACCAAAACTCTGTTTCACAACTGGCACCTCTTTAAGGACAAAGTGGTGCTGGGTGTAGGCTCAGGCACAGGGATCCTCTACGTTTGCTCCCAAGGCTGGAGCCCACAAGGTCTTTGGGATTGAGTGTTCCAGTATCTCTGATTATGTGGTGAAGATTGTCAGAGCCAACAAGTTAGACCACATGGTGACTGTCATCAAGGGGAAGGTGGAGGAAATAGCGCTTCGGTGGAGAAGGTGGACGTCATTATCAGTGAGTGAACGGGCCATTGCCTCTTTTATGGATCAGTGCTCAACGTGGTGCCCTATGCCCCAGACAAGTGGCTGGCACCTGATGGCCTAATCTTTCCAGACTGAGTCACGCTACACATGACAGCCATTGAAGACCAGCAATACAAAGACAAGAGCCACTGGTGGGAGAATGTATATGGCTTTGACATGTCTTGCATCAAAGGTGTGGCCATCAAGGAGCCCCTGGTAGATGTGGTGGACCCCACGCAGCTGGTCACCAAGGCCTGCCTCATAAAGGACGTACACATCTACACTGTCAAGATAGATGACCTGACTTTCAACTCTCCCTTCTGCCTGCAAGTGAAGTGGAATGCCCTGTGGCTTACATCAACATCACGTTCCCTCGCCGCTGCAAGATGGGCTTCACCAGCCCCGAGTCCCCATATGTATGCTGCAAGCAGGCAGTGTTCTACATGGAAGACTACCTGACAGTGAAGACTGGTGAGATCATCTTTGGCACCATTGGCATGCGGCCCAGTGCCAAGAATGATCATGACCTGGACTTCACCATTGACCTGGACTCCACGGGCCAGCTGTGTGAGCTTTCCACTGACTACTGATGGCACCCGATTTCTCCCACCCCAGCCGGACCAGCCCTGCACGGGCCCAGGGGCTGTAGCATTCTTAGGCAGTTTGGGGACTCTCCCTTCCTCCCTTTCCTCTCTCAGAGGGGGTTTTGAGGGTCTGGGCTATGGAGGTCGCACCGTGACTGTTTTTCATAACTTATGCTTTTGTATGGTTGCATTTATACCAGTAAATCCTCAGCGGGGGAAAATAAATAAAAAGGTGTTCAGAGGAAGTGTGAAAAAATGGGAAAAAATTTTAATTATTCATGAGAAGGAAAGTGTTGCATAAAGAAGAAAATCATTTACATCAGCTTTGTTCTTTCTAAGAATCAAAATTTTTCTTACTGGCAATGAGTCAACCTTCTTTACTAGCTTTGTTAACCAGGCTAAGTTAATGGATTTGAATGTAAACAGTACAGCCTCTTGGAGCAAGCCTTTTAACAACCAAAAGATTCTGGTGGAACCTATTGCATCTCTTTCAATTTTGATTGTTCAGAGTACAAGTGATCATTACTTCAATGAGTTTTACTCTGAGAAAGCTTATAGTTATAGATGTGTCCGACATGGCTTAGATTTTTCAGGAACACTTCCTGTCAGCAGCACTAAAAGGAAAACTATATATGAAAACTGAGATAATTGACTCTTTTACTTATGAAAAAGCAGTTGTAGAGAAGGCACAGGATTTGCAGTCAAAGAGATGGCTTCCAGTTCTGTTCAGATCACTTAAAATTATAACCATGGATAAATTGTCAGACCCCTTTATGCTTCCCTTTTAAAACAGAGAGAATGATGATAGCTTGCCTCACACAAGGGCAGTGGGAGGGTTGACTGAGGTGATGGAATAATGGATATGAAAGCGCATGCGCGTGCTGGAAGCGCATGCGCGTGCTGGGGCGGGGGGACGATAATGATGGAATGAGGTGGTGTCAGTAGTCCTGCAACTTCTCGTGGTGATGTAGTGTCAGCCCATTCTGACTCCCATGGAAATATTTGGTAAGAGAATTAGAACCTAATAATACTTCATCATTAAGAATAACTGATGAACAGTTATCACAGTCCCTGATCTGTGACAATTTATGATCTAAAGGAGATTAGATTCACTATTAAGATAGTTACTTAAGGTAGACATAAAGAAAACTTTGAACGTATAAAGCGAATATATCAGAATTTACTTATTCAAATAAATGTCTGCCTTTAAATATTGCCCTCAGGGTGCAGTTCAGGTATTTTCATGCCGTTGCCATTGTTCAGAACATTTTTGGAATGTCTTCGAATAGCCTGTTAGGAGCTAGGATATTGTATTCAGGGTCTTCAACAGCAGCTTATCTTTTTGTTTTAAGGACAGATTTGGCATTTGAAATAAGTAAAAGAGCATTCAAAATCAAGTTTGGTGGATAAAAATGTATGATTAGGTAATACCACAAAGTTAGATGATCAGAAGGCAAATTGAAGAATAAGCATGAAAACTTGAAAGTTCTCAAGTGCACACACATGTACATATATTTTTCTGCTCCCTGCGATTGCTTATACATTGTTAAAAATGCAAAAGGGAAACTTCCTTAAATCCCAGCAGACTCACAGACGTAACCAAGGCTGCCTTCTGTTCTTTCTGTAAAGCACCATGACTAGTGACCAGTGTCCCAAACACTGGCAGTGAACAGCCTGCTTCTCAGGTAGACGTGCTCATTTGCCTGAGTGTTGATTTCCAGGTTTGTTTATGCCAACTGTACCTGTTACTATAACCATGTAATAATATTACTTAAATTGTTCAAAAATAATTTGAAGAGAGACAGAATTGTTTCTGTTAAGTTAATTGAAACAATTTGGTTGACTAGTCAATAAAATCACCATTGAATTAAGTATGAAGGAAACAACTGTAAAAAGGGCAGGATATCATACAAGTGTGAAAGGATTCTGCACCCCAACTATTTGAGAAGTTCCTGCGTTTCCCACGTGCTTTTTAACAAAACAACTGGGAAAGCATTAACAATGTTACAAGTATGCTTTATACAGAAGAGAAAGTGCAGAATTTTAGTCGGGACACATACTCAGAGAAAATACCGTGGCAATTGCATGCATGTTTATGTGTTCTAAATGAAATGTTTTAATAATGTAGGTAACATCTTTTATGATTTCCCTCCTCGTCTGTTTTTTTCAATTAACCGACTAACCGCCAGTCCTGACAGAGCTCCTAAGAATTTCTTCTATATTTGCTTAATACAGTGTTCCTTTCTAACATTTCATCTAATTTAAAAGCAGAACTATTAGTTGATCTAATAGGGAAACACAATAAGCTTGAATGTAGTTTACTAGTGTCGGTTACTTGTGATTTTAACGTCATCACATATGTGCCCATTACAGCTGGTAGTCGATAAAAATCATCAATTTTTATTGAAACAATGTGATTTAAGATCTGCTTTTGTTTTTTAACCCAATAAAATCTCTGATAAATCTTGATTATCGTTCACCTATTTAAATAAGAAGGTTGTGTTTCTCTTATGCTTTCTTGAAGGTGTGATCCTTATTTCCCTGGCACTGTGTGCAGATGCTGTCATAGGAAATGTTCAAGAGAAAGCTATGAAACTGCATAATGCTTCTAATTCGGAAATGGTAAGGACTCCAGTGCTTCTTCACAGCAAACAGGCTCAAAAGTGGTGAGGTGCTAACTTTATGAAATAGTTACGATATTAAAGACTCGCATGGCATTTTTAAACTAGTTTGTCATCATCATTTTCGTAAAAGTAATACATTCAAACATTATGGGAACTAAAAAAGATACCACTACCCCTCTTAAGAGCTTATTGTATAATATTTGATAAATTTTTTCCTTATTAAAAAAATATTTTTTTTTCCTTATTTATGGGTTGTTTTTTTTTTTACATATTAAAAAGATCCTGTGTTACATCCCTTTTCTTCCCTTTTGTATTTGGTATTATTTTCCATTTAGAAGTTTGTAATTTTGATGTGGTTTATCTTTTCCTTCATGGGTTCTGGCTACCTATTATGATTGAAAAGGGCTTTCCCAACTTTTAAGAATTTTACCCATACTGCCTACTCGTTTTATGATTGCCTTTTTAATTAAATCTTTTTTTTTTTTAAGAGCAAGATGGAGGGTGGCAAAGGGAGAGAGGGAGAATTTTAAGCAGGCTCCACTCCCAGCACAGAGCCCGACATGGGGCTCAATCTCACAGCCCTGAGATCATGACCTGAGCCAAAATCAAGAGGCAGACATTTAATCGACTGAGCCACCTAGACAACCCTAATTAAATCTTTGATCCAACCAAAACTTTAAAAAATTTTCTTATCTATCCACTTGTCCCAGTATCATTTGTTGAAAAATCCACTTTTCCAGCTTAAGTGCCTTCTTTATCATATAATATTCTAATGTAGGATTCAGAATTGTGTTCTTTTGAATTTACTTCTGCACCAAAACCATATGATGACAAGCAGCTCTATCATACATTTACCATATGTTAGAACTAGCCAGCAATATTCCTTTTGTTTTTCAGAATATTACTACCATTAGTTATTCTTGGATGTTCATATCTCCAAATAAACTAGAAAATTCCATTGTTAATTGTGATTGGTATGGAATTGAATTATAAGTTAATTTAGAGAGAATGGCATCTATATACTTGAGTCTTTCAGTCCAAGTCCATGATTTTCCATGGCTTTTCAAGTGGCTTTTTTTAAATGTCCCTTAGATTTTTTTAAGTTTTTTTCATATAAATCCAACATATTTCTTATTGAAGTTATTGTTAGGGGTTTCATCTTTTTGCTGTTGTTACTGCAAATAATGTCCTTTCTTTCCTTATATCTTCTGCCTGGTTGGTATTTGTATATAGGAAAGTTATCATGTGTATGTTTACATTAATTTCATAGCTAACCCCTCGCTAGACAGAGAGAGCATACCACATTAAGGGTATATAGGAATGGTCTTTCCTATTACTTTGTCAGCAGAGTGGGCATCTTTAAGGAGTCTTTAATCTTGGTCAGAAGTTTTCTTGATCATCATCACCACTCTTCCTAGATAAGGTAAAGATCAGATAATTAGGGAACTATAAGTTGCTAGAAAGTTACTATAATACAGTGGTTAAGAGCTTAGACAGACTCTGGGCTAAGATCGCCTCTTTTATATCCTAGCTTTACGAGTTCTCTTACTGGGGCAAAATGACTTACTATCTCTAAGTTTTAGTTTCTTTATCTGCAGATAGAGGAGTGATCATTAAGAGTGTCTAACTCATAGGCTGGTTGTGAGAAATGGAATAATTTATGTAGAGCATTATTAGCACATGATTAGCATTATTAGTACCCGACACATCACAGGTGCACAAGTGTGATGATGCCCCTGCTGATTGTGCTTATGAGGAATATGAGGAACTGGGATAGAAAGATTGGTAGGAAAACTGGGAAATCAAGCAATAGATATGCCAATAGATATGTCCCTGCTTATTTTCATTATCTGTTAATATCTTTACAAACTTAACATTTGATGTTCTGATGTTTAATAAGTGGCTTTAAAGGGTTTTTTTGTTTTGTTTATGTGTGTTTTTGGAACCCCAAAATTCAAATGTGGTTTGAATCAGTAATCAAGCCAGGCAAAAAAATGAATATTATGTAACTGTATACATGGAAGGATCAGTCCTGCTATGTTATGATGTACGTAAAATAAGCCATAAACTTATAAAGAGGATCAATCATCATCTCCAGAAAGCTAGGCCATATTGAAACAATGATGTCACTTAAAAATGGTGGTTCTTCAGATTTAATTGAGTAGATTAATTGAGCCATATATTGAAAATCCTTCATTTTCTGCTTTTGGTTTGATAGCATTTTTTCCACTTTATTTTTATCTACCATAGGTTTTATATTCGTATTCAATCGGTTTTGTGTACATTTTATTGGGATTGACATGCACTAGTGGATTAGGCCCTGCAGTAACATTTTGTTCAAAGGTAAACACTAATCACATTTTTAAAAATAAACATCTTCCATTAAATAGTTCCCTCTGTATTTCTTGTTCAAAAAGATTGTTTTTTATGTAATTTGATAACTCCTTTAGTATAATATATGCAGATCAGAAATTATTTCAGAAATGAAATGATTTATGTTTAAATTTATTGTATCCTTGCTCTACCCTATAAGTTAATTTTTAAGCGATTCATAATGTAAAAGTTGAGGATTTTTAATTTCATCATTGTTTTTCCATTAAATCAGAACTAAATAAGAATCTTTGCTTGACTGCGTTGTTGAATGGCTTATTATTGCTCAGGAAGTTGATTAAAATCTGTAGTTTTATTTCATTTGTAATACCTCAGGGTTTGTTTTGCATTTTCCTAACAGGCTTTTTTATATGTTGCAGAATCCAATTCAGACTTACGGTTATGCTTTCCTTTTTTCCCTCACTGGGTATTTTGGAATCTCCTTTGTTCTGGCTCTGATTAAAATTTTCGGTGCACTTCTTGCGGTAACAGGTAGGAATGATATACCTGCTTAGATTATGAAGTAAGCATTTAAATTTTCTCTGATGCTGCTTTTCAAAAGATACAGGCAGCATCTACTCTGCAATAAAAAGAAAATTGTTATAGTTCATCAATTTATTTTTTGGCTTATGGTATTTCTTTAAAATTCTAAAGAAAATGATGTTTGCTCATAATTTTTTATTTGAAGGGTTAATCTTAAAATCAGATATATACATTTATCTAAATAGTAACTTTTAAATACATTAAAAGGACTTTTTATTAGAAAGTATGATGTGCTGAATACCTTTAGAGAAAAATCCTGCTTTTAATATGCACTTAATTTATAACCAAAAACTCCCATTTTGATGCACTTAAAGTATGGCATGTATATTTTAAACAAAGCTTTTTGGACCTTTCATTTGTACACTTTCTAGGGCATTAACCAGATTATCCTTTCTTTTCCCTAATAATTATCATGTACCTGCTTTATGCAGGAACTTTGCTTGGCACTTTAGAGGAATGGAAGTTGTATTGGTTTTGCTTTGAGGGAGTCAGGAAAACAGATGAGGGGCAACAGGTGAGGCCCAGTGAGGAGGACAGATGACTCCATGTGCTAACCTTGTATCATTTGCCCAGTGAATGGTCCAGATGACAAATGCTCTCAGCCTCTCCCATATGGAGAGAGCCCTGAGTGAAGCCCAGGATTGGAAACAGTGTGGCATTGTCATGAAGGGCACTGGATTGAGATGTCGGAGAAGGAGAGCCCAGTCGCAGCTCTGATGTGTAATGACACATCACCTGGAGAGTAACTCTCCCCTCTTCCCTGGGCTTCATTTCTCTCTTGTGAAGAGACTGGGTTGGACTTGACCATTTCTATCAGAGATACATAGGATTTACATCATAATGCAAACACGCATTAGTCATTTACCTGATTTTAATATTTCATAGTTTTAGGGGAATACTTACTCTAATACTACAGAGTCAATTAAGCAACGGAATAAATACCTCTCTCTTTGTAAAAGTTTATTTGCTTTGTAACGTTTCTCTTTATTTGCTCACATAGGACTCCCCTTTTTACTTATTTATAACTTCCCTTTTTAAAGTTTACATTGCTAATGGTAACAGAGGGCATGTAATTGTAGATCAGGCCATAGCCATAATCTGTCGAGTCATCTCACGCTACCAAGAAAGATTGCAAATTCATAATATTTAGCTCAGGTTCCAGTTTTGCTCATAAGATAATAACTGTTTAAAAAGGTTTGATATTAATCAATATGTATTGATTAAACCCTGTGGTTGGTATAAAAAATGTGAGATGCTGTCCTTGTCTTAAAGGTGCAGACAGGTTTATTTCTGTCTCGTGTAAAAGAAATGCAGCAGTAATAATAATAGCCAGCATGCATATCCGTTATTATGTACTAGGAGCCATTTTACATACATTATTCATTTTGATCTTGCAATAATCCCATAAAAGAGTAGGCACTGTTATTGTTCCATTTTACGAAGGGTAAACTGAGGCACAGGGACGTGAAGTGACTTGCCCCATGGTCAACCACCTAGTAAGTTGCAGAATCAGGATTCCAAGTGAGGCAGTCTGGATCCCGACCTGTGCTCTTAACCCACATGTTACACTGCCTCCTGAGCTGGAGTGGTGGCATCACACTCATTAGGAAACCAGGCTCCTTCGGTCTTTTCTGCCATCTTCTTCCTCATTCCAGGCCGTGGGATGGGAGAAGATGAAGGACACATCTTTCTCTTTATGGAATCTTCCTAGAAAGTAAACTTCCTAGAAACAGCACTTCTGCTCACTTTTCTTTGGCCCAAACCTCATCACATGACAACACCTAACCGTAGGAAAGGCTGGAAGGTATGCCCATAATAGGGGTCCGTTTACTAACACAGAAGAAAGTAGGGGTTAAAATAGGGGTCCGTTTACTAATACAGAAGGAAAAATAGATTTGGGGAATCAGGCTCTGACACATTTCCAAAACAGATTCTTCATTTGGAGTTCATTTATTTATACGTTGGATAGTAAGTGCCAGGAGCTGTCGAGTCCAGGGATATAGGATGAATAAGACAAACTAAGTAAAGCTCACCATCTAGAGGAGGATAGCAACTGATAATGCAAAGTTGGACGGAAGGCTATGATGGAGACATATGCCAAGGTTCTACCTCTACGTGGGTGGGACGGAGGAGGGTTTCAAACCCGACAGCAGACTTCAAGGTCGTACTTGAAAGACAGGTAAAAGTTAATACAGACATGTAAAGAAGTCTGTAAAGATTATTCATGGTCTTACTCAGAGATGACCACGGTAGGATATTAGTGTGTGCTTTAGCTTACTTCTTTTAAAGACTAACCCCTGCTCTACCTAATCCTACCTTCTTTGGCAAAGCCTATTTTTCCTGCCAGACTGTTTCTAAGGATGACCTGCCTCCCTAGTGTCATAGCCTTTATCAAGTACTTATTACAGTTGTACTTTAACATTTAATTATAATATGATTTATATCTGTACCCCTCCTAGACTGTAAATGCCATAGCAGCGGCAACAATGACTCTCTGTTTGGTTTTTGCTTTCCATCGTTTTCTTGGCATGTCACGTAGATCTTGGCACATAGTAGGCTCTGTAAATATTTGTTGAAAATGATTTCCAAAATATTACCAAGATAGTAGGCACATTATAAACCAACCTTTTTTCTCCGTACAGTGACAACAGGAAGAAAAGCCATGACCATTGTACTTTCATTTATGTTCTTTGCTAAACCATTCACGTTTCAGTAAGTACTTTTTAATTCAACAGGTTTCTCTACTTGTAGATGCCTGGTTTCACATTTCCTCCTAAGCAGCCTTAATTTATTTATAAAAAATCAGTTTCATCTGGAGCCCTAGTTTATTGATATGTCTTCTGCTATTTATTTTGAAGAAATCATATTGTACACTTAAGTTGCCTAACCAGAGTCCCAATGCAATTATGATCCCATTTCCAAGATAAATGAACATGAGTGATGTCTTGAGATTAAAGGATTCCACCTTGCCTTGAAACATACACACATACATATGAAACCATATATATGGTTTTTAAAGTTATTTGTCCCCCTCTCCCACAAAGGATTTGAGGTAGAGAATTATTCTGTAAGTTTATTTAGTATATGGCTTCTTGTAAAGCAGTTAGTGTTTTCTCGACCATCTAGTATGCATTTGAAATCAGTATCATTTAAATTTATGCTGCTTAGTGATTGAGAAGATTCATACTTAGAAATTATGAATGTGTAAGCTTAAAGATAACCACAAGATAAATTTCAGTCAGTGTATTGTTTTCTATAAGTTAGTTTCTCTTTCCCCATATGCTAGATATATATTACAGCAATCTATGCCAGTTCCCCAGCTTTCTCAGGATGTGCCCCTTTTTATCTCATTATGTGCTACCCAACTGGGATAAACAGTTGGACTGCCAAACTGAATTCCCAAGATGGCCATTGGCAGAATGTACTCAGTGCTTTAAGTACATTCTTAGACTGTTGATTAGGACGTGGACTTGAATTTGCTGTTATCTTCAAAGTTCAAATGAACTACGTTTAGTATTTTATAAAGTCTCTCTGAATATACTTAATATAAATGAGCTGGAATTCTATCTAATCTGATCTAAAAATACTGTTTTTTATTTTAATGCTATTGTAGGCCTCCAATAGCAAAATTTTATTTTATTGCAGAATTATTGTGAACTTATCACCAAGTCCTGTGGTTAACAATAAATTGTTACCTTGATATTAATATTTTTTTCCTTCTTTCTCTTCTTAGGTACGTGTGGTCTGGTTTGTTAGTTGTCCTTGGTATATTTCTCAATGTTTACAGCAAAAATATGGATAAAATAAGGCTACCATCACTATATGATCTGATAAACAAAACAGTGGAAATAAGAAAGTCAAGGACGTTGGCACAAACTGTATAGGCAGTGATTCCTCCTGCTTAACGTAGAATTCTAAGGGAACGATCATCAAATAATTAATTTTCCAAAGGGATTATTATAAAAACCAAAGGAGCTGAAAGGCATGCTATCCATTTGTGGATGGATGGGTCACCTATGAAGTCAGCCTCTTCCGCAGATCACTTGTTTAACTTCTGAAGCAATTAAGAGAGCCACATCGGCCACACCTTAGAACACACTGTCAGTGAAGGACTAATTCTTAGCAGTCTGTTGAGAATTTCACTGGAAAATGGACCGTGTTGCAAAACTAACTGGATATCATGATGACTTTTCAAAGAAATTGATATAATAATATCAATTAATCGATTGTTTGGTCTTCATTTTGGTGGTGTTATTTAAATGATTCTCTGTTATAAGAGTGAACATAGGATTTAAAGTCTAGAAAGAATAACTTCATTATAAATAAAAATTATTCTGTGATTTTTTTAATAAATGCGTTGTTAGAATTTTGTTACGAAGAGGGAAGTGAAGGTTGCAGGAAGGCTTTAGATAAACTTCAAACCTTAGGCTTTTCTCTGATCATTTAAAAGTATTCTTTAGAGAAAACATGCCTTAAGTTTTCTGTGGACTATAGACAGTATAACAGAAGGAGTCACCACCCTGCATCCTCTTAAGTATGTATCACAAGAAAAACTTGCTACTATCCATCAAAGAAGTGCTACAAGATTTAATGATGTGGATTTTTTAAATAAAGAGAAAATAATTCATGTCTTAAATTATAATAAAATAATAAAATTGTCATAGTTTTTCTCAAAACAAATTTAATTTGACAGCTTGAAGACTAAATAGGGTAAATATAAGAAACACAAGTGGATTTATACCTATGTTGTTTGCACAGTTTTGATTCGAAACTCATAAAACTTTTAGCCCTTACGTTTTTAGCAGTGAGTTTTGGAATTGCTTCCAGTGTATTAAAAAAATTCTATCTTCATTTTCAGTGTAAGTAATTCTAGTTAAAACAGCTTAGTTTCTGCGTTGTTGGTGATACCACTTATATTTTGTGAGTTATTTAATATACTTGGAATATTTAATCTCATTCTTAAAATTCCATTGTATTCTGATGGTGACCTTAACTAGTAGGTGCATATGTGGGTACAACAGAGCCTATAATAATTTAAGGGTCTAGCGTAAGGAATTCTGACTGATTTTCATTTGTCATGTATTAAAATACTGTGGGGGTATTTTTCCCCAAGTGGTGATCATTTTTAAGTTTTCGTATTTTAAAATGAAAGGGATCTTAGTTGGTACTTCATTATGCCTTCTTAAACTCTTAAGACGGCAAGGATTTGTGCTTTAAAAATAATTTTCCCAAGTTCTTGATAAAAGATTGTAATTTTAACTTTGCAAGGCATCCTTTTATGTCCACACTTTTCTAATTTTTTGCCTTTGCCTATTAAGAATTCTTCCCACCCCCCACTTTTAAACAGTTTTGCATTGCTTAAAAATTGGTTTGCCCTCCTAACCCTTTATACTCCCATTTCCTTTTTTTTTTTTTTTTTTTAACCTGCCATCAAATGAGGGCAAACCTCATCTCACTTATTTGTGTCCATGGAGTACTCTTCTTAATGAATAGTGTGAAACCCAGTAATTTCTATAGTAAAGGAAATCAACATTTGATTGTGTGCTTTGTGTCACATTTTATAATAGCATTCATAAATACGATCATGATCGCAACAGAAATATAAGTAATAAATAAAATTAATAAGGGAATTAAAAATAGTAATCACTAAAAATCACTACAATTTAAGTGCTTACTAGGTGCCAGGCACTATTATAAGTGAAGTATTTAATTATTTAATCCTCACAACATCTCTTTGAGGGCAAGGATTGTCCTCATTTTACAGATGAGGAAGCTGTGGCCAGTGAGATTAGGTGACATTGCTAACCTTACATGGCTAGAAAGAACCAGAGCTGTCTGTCAAGCAGCCTAGTCCCAGAGTCAGGCTCTTAACCAACTCTTTTGCCTCTCTAAGTTGATGTGATTATGTTCACGGTTTTGCAGATACAGAGGTTGAGGACCAGAGTAAGTACTTACTAGCTCACGATTAACTGGATTTCAAACCCAGTTCCATCATACCCCAAAGTGTATTTTCTGTCTACCATACCCCACTATGAGCACAGAAGTAACCCAAAGTAACATAATAAATGATGAAATATTTTTAGTAAAGAGTTTGTGAGACATACTTTAATGAATAGGCAAGGATCATTTGACTGGAACATTAGTTAAATGCAGATACATGTATTTGTTTAAGCCGTATGTAGATAAAATTGGTTTCTTCGGCGGTGTTCATATTAGGTGCCTATCACAGAGTAGGCACTCAGTAAATATCTATCATACAAGACTAGTGTTCAAAGAATACCATTAGGCCAGAAACTACACCGGATAATATATGTTCTGAATTCCGTCTTCTGTCCCTTTTTTTTGGTATAATCAATGCAACAACAAAGTAACAGCAGAAGAATCTGGCCGTCTCCTGTGGATCACTGTATTAGATTTGATCTGGAAGTAAGCCAGCCTAGCCAGAATCCTCAGGAAGGCCAACTTGTATAATAAAGAATTTAGCTGGCCTTTTTCCTTGGTTCCTGAGAAGGAGCTTTTCATCTTTGGGATTTCCCAAGTGATGGGCATGTCTTTGATATTCATGGTGGGTCCTAGATTGTGCCAAAATAGGGGCTGGCCATGCTGGAATGACTAACCCTGTGACACAACTATGGAGTTGGGGTTTTGAGCCTCAGGATATCAGTCCAACCTCCGGAGGAGAAACAGGGATTTGTGTAGTCAGTGATTCAGCAATCATGGCTCTGTAGTGAGTCTTAATAAAAACGACACAGGAAGGCTCAGGAGAGCTTCTCGGGTTGGAGATGCACATTGATGTGCCTGGAGGGTGATGTGTCCTGAGGACGTGGAAGCTTAGTGTTAGTAACCCACCCAGACCCTGCCCCATGGGGTTCTTCCTGTGTCTGGTCCTGATTCCAAAACTTTATAACAAAAGGAGTGGGAAGTACAGCACTTCCCTGAGTTCTGTGAATTCTGGCACCCTAGAACCTGAACTTGAGGGGACTGCCCAATTTGTACCCCATTGGTAACAAGTACAAGTGGCCTGGGATCCTCAGAGCTTGCAGCTGGTGTTGGAAGTGAGGGGGCAGTCTCTCGGAGACTCTGCCTGCAAAACTGGACCGAGTCTGGGTTGTCAGAATTGCACTGCCGGCTTTATGCTGAACATATGTTTTAAAATAACTATGAGTATTTTCTGGGATATCCTCTCAGTCTCTTAATTTTCTCAACTGATTTTTATCTTAAATCCACTTTACATTCTAGATTCTTCCTTGGTCAAAGAGCATAGAATTCTACCAAAATATGACCAGGATAATGGGCCAATAATAGGGCTTACCATAATGAAAATATTTTTTCATTCCAGTATCACATTTGCCCTTTAAAGTTATCAAATTATCAAGTTATGCATATGATGCCCAATACCTTTGTGTGTTTTCTTCCTAATTTAAGCACATGACAGTCTTTTTTTTTCCATTATGTGTTTGAGTGAAACTTTTTTTCCTATTTTCACTTAACCCTGCTTTTCATGGGTCCCTATTAAATGTCCTTGTACTTGCCCATTAAGCCAACCATCTTAATGTTTTTAACAAATAGTGTAGCATCACTGACTTGACTGCTCTATTTTTACTTTAACATAATTTACTCATCCATTCTCACTCTCCACCTATGAGCCAGCATTATACTAGATGCTGAGGATGCAAAAGAAAAAAAAAAAAATACAACCCTCACTCTTTAAGGAACACCCATTCTGAAGAAGATTTATTGTGATTACTATATAAAAATACATAGAACTATGTTGTTTCCTTCCAGTCACGGGGTATCTTATTAGCCTTAAGTTTTCAAAATAATTCCCCATAGTGGTAGTGTTTCCAAAACTTAAATATGCACATGAGTCACCTGAGGATCTTCTTTAAAAAGATTTTAATTTAATAAGATTGTGTTGGAGCTGAGACTTGGCTCTAAGGAAATGCCCCTGCTGCTGGTCTGTGGACCACACTTGAGTATCAGTCTTGGAGTACCAGATCCGTGTCCTGTTTTCAGTGTCAGGACATCTTAAACTATTTGAATAACTTCCACCTGTTTCCCTTCCATCTGCTTTTCTTTCTATTTTTTTTTTATTTTATTTTATTTGCTTTTCAAACTTCCCATTCTGTATGACCTGACACTAATTAACATCTGAGTCTCTTCGTTCAAACCGATCAAAAAATCTCACCATGTTGCAGAGTTGCTAGCATAAGTGAAAAGAGTTCTTTAATCGTTGTAGGTGTATGAAAGATTTAATATTCATTACTTTCTCCATAAATGTTACTTTTTTTTTAAATCTTCACGAAACTAAGATAAACCCACAATTTCCTACCAGTCATGGTCTGTTGTTTTAATTTCATGGCATGTAGTTAGAATACTTTTTATGCTATTTTGTAGTGACATTATGAAGAAAATGTTCACTTCAGTGATTTACTCCTGCTTCAGAATGAACTGTATATTACGAGGGGTTCAGGAAGTAGGACTTAACACTTAAGGGATTCTTCTGAGACTTTAATCACAAAAATGTGTTTTATTAAATATCTTAATCCTATGATAACCCCCAAATTTCTAAAACATAATTAATTAGTCCATTTTAATCAGTTTAACACAATTGATAAGATTTAAATAGATGAAATAAGTAAAATGTGGATAATTATTCACAATAGATAATGATAGAAATGAGACCTTGGAGTCTGATTATTATAGATTTCCTTGCAGGACTCATCTCCCATTTTTTCTTTCCCCTAATGCCAGTCACAATGAAAGGAATAAAAAGCAGATCAGTTCAAGTGTATATTGTGCTTTATTTCTGACTCAAGAGCATATAAACATTTGGGAGTTAATTTTTTTTGTATGTTCTGAGAAAAACCCATTTATATATCTTAATTGCGTAGGATTTTTTTTGTGTATATATATATACCCAGAGATGACTCATAAAGGCAAGTAATCATCTTTTCTCTAGTTTCTAACCACATTTTAATTGATAATGTTAGTCTGCAATATATGTGCCAATCTTAGTGATGTAGGAAAGATGTTAGTGTCGAAGCTGATGGCCAAGAAAGAATTCTTGAGATGTCTTTGGTGCAAAAAGGTGGTTTTATTGAAACTAGGGACAGGACCTGTGGGCAGAAAGAGCTGCATGGGGTCATGAGGAGGGGCCCATTATATACTTTCAAGTTGGGAGGGGGTTAGGGAGAGCTTAAGTCTCTAAGGAATTTTGGAAGCAAGGTTTCCGGGACCTTGAGGGGGCTAGCTATCCTTTATTACTGTCCGATAAAACCTTAGTCATGAGACCTTCAGATGTATATCGGTGAGTCATATGCTTGGGGTGATGACCAACATATTTCTTGGGG